GCCTGGAGCACCGCAGCTCCCCACGTTCCCGTTATTATTGGCATCACTATGTGCAGACCCAGATGTCTGTGCAGCCTCTGGTGGTGCTGTGATGCTCTGCCCCGTGCCGTGCAGGACAATACGGCTGCACAGCGAGCGCGTCCCTCTCCTCCCATTTCATTTCCATTTCAACCTGACGCCGTTTCATCTCGTCAAATATCCCCGTGCTTCCTCCTGCATCCTGTTAGCGTCCTCCCGACTCCGCTTTGCCTCCAGCCGACACAAATCTCCCCTTCTCACATCTCCTCGTCTGCACGCTCCCCCCAGGCCTCCAATTATCCCCTCCATCCATCTCTGCAGCTCCTTTCGCTCTCCCTCCGCTGTTCCAAAACGGAATTGTGGAAATGGGGCATGGCACTGCAGCTGGAGGACCTCAGCGGTGGGCTGGAGCTGCAACGCACCGCTTTCCTCCCCGCGTCCATCTTTCAGCTCCTTCCTGATGTCGTGTGTGGCAGCTCACGCCTTCCCAGGAATCGTTTGTGCTCGAGGGGACAGGAGGCACCGAGAAGCCCTGAGCCACATCCTTCGGTGCAGGCAAGCACCCAAAGCTCCGTGCCACGGTCCCTCCCCAGTGCGCAACCCAACTGCAGTGTGCGCTGCTCCCAGCAATGGGAAGCGGAGCTTTTTGGATGGGATGCAGCAACACTGAGAGGCACTTCCCCCTTGGAAAAAGGTTGGGCGTAAGAAGTGTGGAATTGAGCAGCAGAGCTGGTTTGGGAGGTTCCCCCAGTGCCACCACAGGGCTGCTGTGAGCTTTGGCACGGCACTGACTGTTGAGAGTCTCCTTATCTGGCTCTGGAGCTTCAGTAGAGCGTGGCATTGCCCGTGAGCCTCTGTACAGCACAGCCACACACAGAATCTCTCCTTGCATGGCTGCAGAGTTTTGGCACAGCACGGCACTGCTCACAGGGCCCCTCCTCGTCCATCTGCAGAGCTCTGGCACGGCACAGCACTGCCCATGAGCTTTGGCACAGCACAGCCATCTGCTGGGTCCCTCCTTTCCTGGCTCTGGAGCTTTGGCACCGCACAGCACTGCTTGCAAACTCCAGCACAGCACAGCACTGCCCACAGGGCCCCTCCTCGCCCATCTCCAGAGCTTTGGCACAGCACGGCGCACAAGCTCCAGTACAGCACTGTCCACGAGCTCTGGCACGGCACTGACTGTCCACGAGCTCCAGCATGGCACTGCCCACTCCTCCCTCACCGTTCCAGGGTCTGAGCACACGCTCGTTGGCCAGGCACGCTCGCGGGGGAGCACGGAGATCAGGCAGAGCCAGGCAGGTCAGGAAGCGCACGCAGGGCCGCGCACACACACACACACACACACACACACAGAGTGATGAGTGAAGGAGCCGTCTGCCAGCAGCACATTCTGCAGCACTTTTCTCTCTTGGCTAATCAGCTACTGAAAGAAGAGCTCCCTGCGCCCGGCCAGCGCTCGCCCCCCGCCCGGCTCAGCTGCGCTGCGGAGGAGGGAAGTGGGCTTGGAACGGCCGCCGCGCTCCGAGGAGCACTCAGCGCTCCTTCATTCATTATCCACTGACATATGGAATAGTCATTGTGGGAGGAAACAGAACCAAACAAAAGCCCCAAACTGCTTCCTCCCAGCGAGGCCCTGACAGCCGCGGCAGCTCGCGGCCATTCATCTCCGTGCCGAGCGCCGGGGGGAGCGCCGGCACCGCGGGCACCCGCACTGCTGTGCCACCGGGAGCCCCGCAGGCACCGCGGGCTGAGCACCCGGCCAGGAAACCGCCGGGGTTTTGTTGTGTCTCTGCTCGGAGCTCACGGCACAGCGGCCGGGCGCGAGGCCAGGAGGAGCTGCCAAGCGAGCGGGAGCGCGGGGCAGCGCGGGGCCATTACTCTTTATTAAGGAGCTCGGAGCCCCCGCGCAGGCGCTGAGTGACAGCGGCACGGCTCCGGGCGCTCCGGGGGCACCGTGGGATGTTTTCCCACCCGTGCTGCTTGTGGGGTCGGCTGTGGGCACAGCGATGGGTCGGACGGCGGCAGCCCCACGGGGGGAGAGCGGTGCCGTAGCATCGCCCGGTGTCGGGCAGCCACCTGCAGGTGACAAGGTGCAGCAGGGCTGACTCTACCTCGACTTGGTGTGTGGTGTCCCTGGGCACCCGGTGCTGGGGGTGATGGATGGGGACACCGCTCCTGCAGCTCCGTGGGGGGCAAATGGGAGGGATGGCCCGCTGTCCCAGCGCAGCTGCAGGCGCTGTGCCCACATCAACACTCGTTGCCATGCTTTCCCGAGGGCTGCACAGGGGTGGGTGTGGGATGGGAGCCCCCCGGTGCATCCCGTTCATTCACCGTTTGCTCCCAATGCCTGCGGGTGCGATGGGCTGAGCCCCATCCGCAGGGCCCTCAGGGGCTGCGTGCGCCTCCAGTATCTCCGTTGAGAGCACCGCGGTCCTTTGAGGGGGATGAGGCCGCTCATTAATAAGGGTGAGCTCACGCATTCATTAGAACGACGCTACGGAACAGAAGCTGGGGGTCTCAATGAAGAAAAGATAAGGAGAAATGGAAGATAACGGCCCCTGCTGCAGCACGGAGGGACGAAGCCGGGGCAGCGCGGGGCGACGAGCGCAAAGCGGCCACAGGAAGCAGCAGCAGCACCGGGGATCTTCTGGAGGAGAGATAAATACAATCGCAGAGGGCAGGGGGCTGGGAGCGGGGAGCAGGAACAAAGCCACTGGAAGCTGCTCTGATGTCAACAGGTTCTGAATCAGCTCTCCCCCCACGGGGGCCCTGCACCGGGACCGGCTGGGGAGGGGGGAGACCTCGGATTCCTGCATGAAAGGGTTTTTTTTCCTGGGTTATGCTGGAGACATTACACAAGTGTATGTTTTCTATAGTCATATATTTCCCCTCTCTCTAAATCTCTATTCCAGACCCGGGGGCTGCCGGCAGCTCCAGCGCCAACCCAGGTGGGCCTCCAGCGTCCAGCCCCGGGGCACGGTGTGCTCCAGGCCCCCCTCGTGTCTCCAGAGCCAGGGCTGAGGCCTTTCACTGGCTGCAGGGCCCAGGAGCCGCTGTGCTGGCGCTCAATGCCCCGCTGCACCACACCGTGCCTTCATACACGCCACGATACACCGCACAGTTCTGCAATACGCCGTGCCACAGAATCACAGAACGTAGCCCAGCTTGGAAGAGATCTGTAAGGATCCGTTAGATCCGTAAGGATCTGTAAGAGCACCTCCCCTACGAGGACAGGCTGAGGGAGTTGGGGTTGTTCAGCCTGGAGAAGAGAAGGTGCGGGGTGACCTCATGGCAGCCTATCAATACCTGAAGGGAACCTACAGCCAGGAGGGGAGTCAACTCTTGAAAAGGGCTGACAACAGCAGGACTAGGGGAAATGGATCCAAGTTGAAGGAGGGAAGATTGAGGTTGGATGTTAGGGGGAAGTTCTTTACAAGGAGAGTGGTTAGGCCCTGGAACGGGCTGCCCAGGGAGGTTGTGGATGCCCCGTCCTTGGACGTGTTCAAGGCCAGGTTGGACGGGGTCCTGGGCAACCTGATGTGAATGTGTGTGTTTGGTGGCCCTGCTGGGCAGGGGGGTTGGAACTACATGATCCTTGAGGTCCCTTCCAACCCGGGTGATTCTGTGATTCTGTGATCATCAAGTCCACTCCTGGCAACTGGGCTACGAATACTCGAAATGGGACCGTGCACTCTCAAAATAGGGCCGTAAGACCTCAAAAAAGGATTCCGAGCCCTCAAAATGCCCTGATGTACAACACCACGGCCCGACATACCACGCCATTCTGCAATACACCTTGCCATGCCCCGATATACCGTGCCACAGAATCAGGGAATGTATCCCGACTTGGAATGGACCTATAAGGATCATCGAGTTCAACTGCTGGCAATAGTGGTAGGACTTAAGATGGGGCCGTGATCTCCCCAAATTAGGGCCATAAGCCCTCAAAATGGGGCTATGAACCCTCAAAATGTCCCAAAACATTACGCCATGTTCCAACGTACCAGACCATGCCCCAGTATACCACACCATGTCCCGATATACCATATCACAGAATATATCCCGACTTGCAAGGGACCCGTAGGGATCATGAAGTTAATTTCCTAGCAATGGGGCTAGGAGTTCTCAAAGTAGGACTGTGATCCTTCAAAAAAGGGCCATAAGCCCTCAAAATGGGGTTCTGAGCCCTCAAAATGCCCCTTATACCACGCTGCACCCCGGTATATCGCACCACAGAATCAGGGAACGTGTCCCAACTTGGAAGGGACCCATCAGGATCATCAAGTCCAACTCCTGCCAATGGGATATGAGTTCTTAAAATGGGCCCACGATCTCTCAAAATAGGTCAGTAAGCCTCAAAATGGGGTTTTGAAGCCTCCGAATGCTCCAATGTAGCACGCTGCGCCCCAATATAGCAGGCTGCACCCCAATATAGCAGGCTGCACCCCAATATAGCACACTGCACCCCAATATAGCAGGCCGTGCCCTCAAAGCTCACCAAAGGCCCTCAAGCTGCCCCCACAAACCTGTCCCAGCACCTTCCAGTGAACCCAGAGCCCGGCAATAGGGCCAGACCGAACGCCCCCGCGCGCTTGGCGCTCACCCCATCCCGACCCCAGGGCTCTGCAGGAGCAGCTGATTTGCGCCAACGGCGTTAATTGATTTAGCAGACGATTAAGAAAGGCAATGAAGTTGGTCTGGAACGAGCCAAGCCAAGGAGCATTCTGCGGCCCGGCATCCTGCTGCCTCTTGCACAAGCAGTTTCCAACCTCCCGCGCCAGGCACTGCGAGCGCTGCGCTCCATCACCAGCCCCCCCCGGCCCCGCTGGGTGCCAGCAGCGAGCTGCAGGGTGGGCAGCCCCCCTTCACACCCAGCATCCTTTGACCCAACGTCCCTCCCTCTGGGTTTGCACGGAAGACGACGCAGCAAGAAATCCACCAGCCTTATGTTGCATCCACAAGTTGGCAGGCGGTCCTACCTCCTCATCCGAGCTGTCCTCCACGTACTCATCCGGAACGCTCAGACCCTCGCCATCCTTTGGAGGGGGATCAGCCCCCAGGGCTTTGCTCTTCCTGGGAGCCCCTTTGACCTGAAAGAGAAGAAAGCAGCTCAGCAAGGGCCCGCCACGTGAACCTTTGTGCTTTCGGGTTCGCGCCGCGCAGCGCTCACGGCTCCTTGGGGACGGCGCATTACAGGGAAGGAAGGAAGGAAAGAAAGGGCTCATTAAGCGCCGCGCACTTCTGCTCATCTGGGACCACGAAGACAGAAAGTTCATCAGCCCCCGTCTGAGGACGGGCTGCCGAGCCGCGCTCTGACAGCTGCTCAGCTCACAGCGCCGCATTCCCACTCACTGTGCTCACAGCCTTTCCTGTCTCGGCTGCTTCCCCAGCCTGGCTATGCCCAGAGCAGATCTCAGAGCTCTGCACAGCCCCTCTCTGCTCACATGAGCTCGGTGCCACCCGATGAACCTGGGGGCAAACAGCCCTGAATTGTGGGAAGAGCGCGGACGCAACGCCCTGCAAGGTGTGCGGAGGGCCAAGGGCGAGGCGCTGCGAGGTGCTGCGAGGTACGAGTGCATGGAAGCTCTGCAAACGCAGACTGTGGAAAAACAGATGCTGGGAAGGGTTTCTGGAGGTCTCTGCTCCAGTAAAGCCAGCTTCCAGGCTCCATCAGGGCGCTGAGCGCTGCGTTTGGTGATGCATTTCCCATTTCTCCGTGGATGGAGACCTCATCGCTGCCTGGGTGCCATCCCAGAAATCCACCAGGACAAGAGCTCCTTCCTCACCTCCATCCAAGGATTCCCCTTTTGCTCTGCCCCCTGTCCCTGGGCAGGACAACAGCCTGGCTGCCTCTCCCTGCCAGCTCAGCCTTTGTGCCCTCTGTCCCTGCACCAAACCAGGTCCTCAAATGGACCCAGAGCACGGATGGCGCACTGAGGTGCCACCCTCATCCCTGTTGGCAGGCAGGCTCTCGCTGTGCCCAACACGAGGTCGGTGTTGCCGTGGACACCTGCAGGCCCCCAGTTCACCTCTCCTGAGCTGCTTCCGTGAACTGAACCCCACTCAGGTCAGTTCTGAGCCCAGTGTGGGATGTGCTGCCCCTGAGCTCCACCAGGCGCCCGCCAGCCCTACCCTGCACTGCTCCGACTGCTCCCCGTGGCTTAGAACAGATCTTCTTAGGAAGGAATTCTTTACTGTGAAGCCGGTGAGATACTGGAGCAGGTTGCCCAGAGAGGCTGTGGATCCCACCATGGAGGTACTGCAGGCTGGATGGGACTGTGAGCAACCTGGTCTGGTGGGCAGTGTCCCTGGCTATAGGAGGGGTGGGTGGAAATAGATGGTCTGAAAGATCCCTTCCAACCCAAACCATTCCACGATTCGATGACGAGTCTACGATCCCAGGTACACACAGAGCCAGCAGAACCTCTCCCCACCTGGCAGCACAAGGGCAGGGCTCACTGGATCAGCACAAGGGCCGCCTCGCCCTGCCCCACACACAGGTCCTTTCCTACAGATGGGCTCTGCCAAGGCTCTAGCTCACAGAGTGCTGGAGATGGGCGCACAACGCACTGGGGGTCAGCAGAGCACACAGCGATCTCAGCTGCCAACCCAAAATCACAGAGGCCTCGATGGACTGAGGGCAGCAATGGGGCAGCACGAAACCAGCCTCACCCCGGGCACTGGGCACTGCGAGAGGCTGCTCTGCCCCGAGGGCACTCCTCTTCCTTTCCATCCTCCTTTTTTCTTCATTTCTTTTCCCTTCTCCATTTCTTCTCCCCTCCAGCACCCGCACTGGGCAGAACGCCTCCGGCAGCGTGAAACCAACCTCACTCCAGGCACCACAAGCAGCTGCTCTGCCCCGAGCGCACTCCACTTCTTTTCCAACCTCCATTTTTTTCTCCATCTCTTTTCCCTTCTCCATTTCTTCTCCCCTCCAGCACCCGCACTGGGCAGAACACCTCTGGCAGCAGCACGGAGCTCGGGGCCACGGCACGGAGAACCTTTCCCTGCAGCGCCGGGACGGCCCCGAGCGCCGCGTGGGTGCGAGGAGCCGGCAGCTCCTTCCCTGGAAAAGAGATTCGCTCCCCCATCGATGGGGCGGGGGGTGGGGGGGGGGGGGGCCCGGGGACCCTGGTGAGATCGGGTTTACGGGAGGATTCGGTGCAATAATCGCAAAAGCAGCCCCGGCAACGTCCCTCGTGGGAGCCGTAAAGTCCGCGCAGTGTGCGATCACCTTCTGCTGTGCGCGGGGAGAGGGGTGGGAGAGCGCCTGGAAAATCCCGGCCCGGCAAGAGGATGAGATTACTGCAAAAACAAAGGGCTTTATTAAAAAATTTAAAAAAAAAAAAAAAAAGAAAAAAAAGAAAAAAATAAAAAGGGAGATTGGAGATAAGTTTTTTTCCAGGCGTTTGGCGCTGCAGTGGCTTTGGCCGCTAGTTTCCATCTCTCCCTCTCTCCTTCCCCCTCTCTCCCTCACCGCGATGCGCCGCGGTTCCGCGGGGGCCCCCAGGCACAGAGCTGTGCCCAACTGCTCTGCCCTACTCTGCCATCAGGGTGGGCACAGAAGGACCCCCTGAATACGGCACAAAGGCAGAAGCGGCCCGCAGCCCTGGAAGGAGCTCCGTTCCCAGCACTGCTACAGCTGATACCTGGGAAACGACAAAACCCTCACTATTTTGACCCCAAAAGTCCATCTGAAGCAGACGGAGGGGCTCGGGAGGAGCGCAGACACGCTCCATTTGCTCCAGGCACACCGCACTCCTCTCTGCTCCCCCCGGTTTGCTTCCAGATCCCTGCAGCTGAGATCGTTCCACCAGAGGGCAGCAAGCAGGACGGACCCGCTGCCGAAGCCAACAAAATAAACCCCAAATGCTCCCCCAGCGCCACAGCACAGCCACGGCTCGGGGATGGGGGCACAGAGCTGCATCCCATCGGGCTGGGATGCTGCCCAGGGACGTGGGGGTGTCACCATTCCCAGAGGTGTGACACTGGAGGACACGGGTGGGGGGCAATATTGGTGCAGTTTGCCGGTGAGCCCCAAGCTGAGCACTGTGGTTGATTCAATAGAAGGGAAGGATGGCATCCAGAGGGGACTGGGGAGGTGAGGAAGGGGCTCACGGGAACACAGCGAGGTTCAATAAGGCCAAATGGGCGGTGCTGGGTTCAAGGAAATGCCAGATTTGGGCACAGAGCGGGGCTGATGGAGAGCAGCCCTGAAGGAAGGACCTGAGGGTCCTGCGGAGGACAGCTGATGAGGCAGCAGCGTGTCTGTACAGCCCAGAGACCAACTGAATCACGGCCGATAAAGAGAAGAGCACAGGCAGAGAGCAACACAACACAGGGGAATGGCTTCAACCCGACAGAGGGCAGGTTGGGGTCAGAGATGGGGAAATCCTTCACCCAGAGGCGGTGCAGCCCCAGCACTGCTGCCCGGAGCTGTGGGTGCCCCAGCCCTGGAGGTGCCCCAGGCTGGGGGTGGGCACTGGGCAGCCTGAGCTGGGGGGCAGCCAGCCCACGGCAGGAATGGGGCTGGGGGGTCCCTTCCATCCCAACCATTCTGTGGTTCCGTAGTCTTTAAGGATTCTTCCTGTCCAACGATTCCATGGCTCTGTGATTCTTAAGGACCCTTCCAACCCAACCACTCCACAGTTCTATGACCTTTCAAGACCCTGCCAACGCAACCCATCCCATCCCATCCCATCCCATCCCATCCCATCCCACAGCTCCATGATCTTTAAGGACCCCTCCAACCCTACCCAACCCAACTCAACCCATGGTTCTATCATCTTTAAGGACCCTTCCAACCCTACCCCAACCCAACCCAACCATTCCATGGTCCTACGACCTTTCAAGACCCTTCTAACCCAAGCCAATCCATCCCACAGCTCTATGATCTTCAAGAACCCCTCCAACCCTACCCAACCCAACTCAACCCATGGTTCTATCATCTTTAAGGACCCTTCCAACCCTACCCCAACCCAACCCAACCATTCTATGGTCCTACGACCTTTCAAGACCCTTCTAACCCAACCCATCCCATCCCACAGCTCTATGATCTTTAAGGACCCCTCCAACCCTACCCA